ATATATATATATAAAGAACTTTTTTTTTACAATAAATAAAAGAACAGAAGAAGACATGAGTTTTGACAATATTACTGCATCATCAAATTGATACAATCCATCTTTATGAGTTCCTTGAAAAAGTATCTCTTTAGACATCTAGTATTTGACACAAAATTTATCAACATAAAATTCAAAGAAAACAATATTATCTTGATAAAATTTTGAAACACTTAATAGATTCTTTATTATAGTTTGGACATGAAAAATATTACAGCAGATTAAAAGTAGAGTTTGACAATTTTGATTGGAGAACAAATTTGTCAATGTAAGCAATCTTCATACCACAGTCATTACTTGTAAACACTTATTTGGATTCATTGTATTGAAGGTAATGTATTAAGTTACACTTTTGTGTAGAATGTTGAAGTTGTGAGATAAGCTATTGGATTCTAAATGTTTGCCCTAGTATTGTGAAAAGAGCTCAAGAGTGAAGGAGGTATGATAATTTGCATAGAGCCTAAAAAATTCTAGTTAAACTCAGATAGCATTGCCAAATAGTATGATCAAGTCTATCTCAAAGTTGACAGTGAGAGTAATTTGGGTTTTAATATCAATTACTCTAACAATACTAATTGTTAACTATCTAAAAAAAAAATAAAAATAATTGACTTAGTTGAAAGTTATTTTGAGTTGTATTTTTAATAAAATTTTATGTATAATTCCAAATGAAAGGTGCAAAAATTGATTTAAAAAAAAATATTTTTCAACTATCAATAATATATGAATATCAATTTAATAATAGAAATTATCATTTATTTAACTGGCAATAAATGTCGTCTACTGCTATTATTATTATTATTATTATTATAGTAATAATAATATTCTTTTTAATAAAATAAATTTTAGAATTATTATAATCTTAAAGTTATAAATTGACTTCGTTTTGATATCCCATATTAATAAAGATAACGTGTGATAATTTTATTTTATTTTTTATAATTCATTACATTACACAAGAAACTTGTTAACTTATAATTTTTGTGAGACAAATAGGTTGTCAAATAATAAGAGGGTTTTGGTATTTTAGATAACCTATATTATTTTCATATCTAATTTTATGATGCCAGCGAACCAAATATAAGCATCCAATGCCAACATCCCATCAAGAGAAATGCAGTACCCAGTACAGCTTTAGTATCACTCTTTTATCAAACCATGTTAACGTATTATGCAAACTCAAGTTGGTTCATTATAAACAAAATTAATATGTCTCTAGTGACAGCTCATGTAAATGGTACAATCGTAATCATTTGTACTCTGTCATCCACGAAAACTGATGAACCTACAATGAACTTGGCTTTGCAGTAGAACACAACACAACACTGCATAGAATTTAAACGGAGAACCACTTTAAATTTTGTAGTTTACTTCTACATTATAGAAGTACTCTCTCACGTACAAAAGGATCATTTTATCTGGACCCTAACCCCATAGACACTTAGATTCATCCCCTCCTGGCGGCGTATTTTTCTTTTTTCAATTACTTTCCCTTAGTTTAAATATATATATAAAAATTAAAATTCAATGATATTAATGCTTTAAAACACTTCATTATAATCAGTAAACAGTAGCTGGATATTGACGTATACTTTTAATATTGATGTTGCTGAAGAGTCAAAATTTGGTGGATTTTTTGTTTTATGTATTGCATGTAGCAAACAGAATGAACACGATCTAAATATGAAGGTTACCATTTTGCGACAAAGATGCAAATTAAGAGTTCTATAATGGTTTTATCGATTGGAATTTGGGGCATGGAAATTGTGAGAATGAGTCGGTGGAAAAAGAATTATACATGCAATAAACCTTCGTGCCTTGACGTCTTTCTTTAATTTCTTGGACTACCTTAATTTTGGTTCATTCTCTATGCACCCCAAATCAATTTGTGCTTCTATTTATGTAGGAAGAATCACTATTACTTGCCTTCTGTCACTGTCTGTAACCCGATCATTGTTAATAAGATCCACATTTATTGCAAATTCATATTCAAATATTTTAAAGAAAATATCATATATATTAAAACATTGAGAATATTTGCTAATTGATTATCAATGTTTAAAAACTTAAATTTTAGAGAATTGATTTTGAGAGAATTATAATTTTAAAATATAATTGTAGGTCTGTTTATAAATAATTGAAAAATTAATTCTATTTATGAAAAATATAATTTTGCCATAAACATATTTTCAATCCGTCTGAATATATATAGTTTGAGTTAGATTAGTCTCTTAAAAAATTGTTGATTTTTGTTTTCATAATTTAAAAATTATATATATATAGTCATACTAAGTTAGCGACTAACATAAGGTGGCATGACATAAAATGACTAAATATATATCACATCATTATTGAGTGATGATAAAAACCATTTTAAGAATATGATATTTTACTAAAATTTCAATTAATAAAAAGTTTTAGATTATCAAGTCATATGTACAACGAGACCTAAGTTAAACATGTTTGAATCAATTTTGGATGTCTTTTTTTTTTTTTATCAATTTGGTTGTCATTTTTAAAATTTAACTCAAGCACATCTTGTATAATATTAATATACCTTTTTTATTTAAAAAAAAAAACTAAGTACTCTTATAGTTAATAAAAGAGACATAAGAATTAATGTCATTACGTTATTAAGTCTATCTGAAGTCTGAAAGTTATTTAGGTATTAAAGAATTAAAATATCACATTATTTGGAATAAGCGAATTTCGATTTATATTTTCAAATGGTATATAAAATAAATTAATAGATAAACTAGTTAGTTCTTTGGGGGAAAAAAGTATACTAAAAAAATTACAAAAGTAAACTTTGGTTATTTAAAAATATTGACATGTCAATGTAGTTTTTTACATAGTATTAATAAAATAAAAATATCCAATTCGATTCAAACTATATTTATTTAGATTAGATTAGACTATTTATATCCAAATAAATCACAAACACTCCTGAGAAGACACTTGTTTATAAATCCCACAATGGTAAGATCCTATTTGGTAAGATCATGACTCTCATTCATTGCTTATCATTCTTTGTTAAATTAATAAAAATGACAACAAAGGTAAATTCGTTATGATCCACACAAATTGGCCAAAACATATTCACTCGATCGCACTTAATTTTTTGTACCCTTTCCAAATTTCCTTTTTATGCTTCAATACAAAATTATGTGCAACTAAATTAGTATACGTCTCTCTTGATTGAGTAGAACTATAGTTTATTGAATAAAAAAAATTAATGATAAGTGATGTGTCTTCCCAAACTAAATAAATTATTTTAGTGAATATAAAATTAAAATTTGAGAGTTGCTGGAAATATATATATATATATATATATATATAAAATAGAATTTTTTTTTTTACTATAAGCCTTTTAAATAGATTTTTTTTTACCAATATATATCTTACAAACAAATTTACAATAAAATTTCTTTAATGAAATATATTCTTTTTATTTTGATTAAGCATCCCTACTTTTAAAGATAAACTTATTTTTAATAGAACAAGGAAACATAATTTTTATGCACAAAATTATATTTATACACCCCAAATTTTCGTTTTTTACCTCTACAGCGCAAATTATGCTACTAATATAATGGCTGAATCCAAAATGTAAATATTACGTTTGTTCTTTCATCTTTATAATTTTAATAAAAGAAAATTGATAAACAAACCCTAATCCCAAGACGTACATGAAAAAGAGGCGAGTATATGATCAATCAATTAAAACACAAAACTTTACTCCCAAGTTATGCAGCTTAACAACGTGAACATAGTGTCATAAATCATAATTAACCCTAACTGAAGAAATACTCCTCCCCATGTTTTACACAAAACAACAGCTCTTATATTTCCTTTTTAGATACAAAGCTTGACTATATACAGTTTAATAATCCGCAATGTCACCGACACATTTTATCATATTATTTTCATTTCATGATTTAACTATAATTATTTCCACCAAAAATTCTATGTACTTCATTCTAATTCTATCAAAAGTATAATACAAAATAATGTTTTTGTATGTAATGTGTGGAAGGAAGCACAAGCCAAGAAGTGTAGATTAGTCATGTTGATAAAGTTAGCTACTAGCTAAGGGCCTACCCAAAAAAGAAAAGAAAGATGGGACAAGAATAGTATTCCCAGTGTCCAAAATCATGCACAACCACAAGGTGAAAAGCAGAAAATAAACAATTAACCAACATTTTTTTAATATTAAACAAGCTCATCCTTTGACTGAAGTCTTGAGTAGAGTAAGCAATGGGTTAACATGAATCAAAGTAGAATACAATGGAAAGAACTACTAAAGACATTATTTTGTTCAGTTTCAATTCATTTATTTGTTATTACTTATGCATATATATATATATATATATATATATATATATGCATAAGTAATAACAAATAAATGAATTGAAACTGAACATATATATATATATATATATATAAGAGTGTGATTTTAATTTTTTGACATTATTGGCCCATGCTGCCATGGAAAATCTCTAGAGAGGGCTCTGCCTGTGCCAGGCTGGTTGTGACCTATTCATGACCCTTGTGACCTTCCTTCATCCTTCGCCACCTCCATCCCCAAAAAATAAAATATAAATATAAAAGTGGGTGTGCATGTACCATACATATAAATATGCATATTATATGATGTAGAAATACAATCTACAATAATAAACATGATTTGGTTTTGAAAAGAGAGCCATTCGTGTGGGACTGTGGAGGGTCCTTAGCAATTACATGATAAGACCCACGTTTTTCTTCGCTTGTTTGGTTCCTTCTCTTCCTCACTACTAAAACCCCCCTCTCCCACACACCTTTCCTTCATTCATTCACCTCATTTTCCCATTCTCACAAACACACACACAGTGTCACTATCATTACGACAACATTCACAACACAAACACACACACACACACACACACATTAAACACATCAAACAAACACAGATCAAAACAAAAACTTTCTATCAGAATTTCTTCAATGGGTGAGGCTTCGAGCCCAGAAACAGACACGAACTGCACTTCACCCTCTTCATCACCTCCACCATCGAACTCGAAGAAGCGAGGGAGAGAGAACACTAACACAAAGCACCCACTCTACAGAGGGGTTCGAATGCGCACGTGGGGAAAATGGGTATCCGAAATCCGCGAGCCACGTAAGAAGAACCGAATCTGGCTAGGCACGTTCGCCACCGCCGAGATGGCGGCGCGTGCACACGACGTCGCCGCGTTAACCATAAAAGGCTCCTCCGCAATCCTCAACTTCCCCGAACTCGCTTCCTCTCTGCCCCGACCCGCTTCCAACTCGCCCCGAGACGTTCAAGCCGCCGCCGCCAAGGCCGCTTCCATGGAGGCTCCTCCTCTCACCCCTCCCTCCCCAGCGTCCACGCCGGAGGATCTCGCCGAGATTGTGGAGCTTCCGCCGTTGGGAACGAGTTTCGAATCGCCCGACCCGTCTACCGAGTTCGTTTTCTTCGACCCGGATGATGGGTGGCCCTATTCTCACCCGTGGTTACACGGCATTCATGACGGTGGGTACTTCGTTGGTGACATGAACTCGATATCACTGTGGCCTTAGCTTGTGCCAACACTACACTAACGTTACCTACCCGTTGCAGTGTGCTTATTTTACTTTCTCTTTTTGTTTTTTTTTTTTTCCCTTAAATTGCATAGTACTTTTTTACATATGAGCCCTTCGGCAATTTTTCTTTTCAAGGGCTTAATATATATATAATATATAATTTTTCTTGTTTCTCAAGTAGCTAAATTGCGTTTGTTTGTTTGAATTTTTTGCTTGTGATCCTCGTCTTTGTTGTTGTTATTGTTATCAATTGCTTACAATGCTAGGTGGGGTTTTGCTATGGCATGGTTATAATCGAGTCTTCTATAATGATGCAAATGAAGAGTAATACACGTGTAGAAAGTGGTTCTAAGCTTACATTATATAGTTCTGCTTTTCGAGGACAAGAATAAAGGTTAAAGAAAGATTCTCTATTGGGTTTTTTTTTTTTTTTTACAGCTCATTATTTGTTTTTTTTTTTAATGTGTGTTTTTAACGAAAGTCTATCTTGACCGTAACAAAATTGCAAAGTCTCTATCTTATGATTGGACGAAACGATTAATGCACCTTTAATTTTACATTGTGTTTGCAAAGGTGGATAAAGCTTTGAATAGAAATGTGTCTCATGGTACATACAGCTAGCAATGAGTGATAATATTCAAGACACGTACGCAACGCGGAACTTCATGTTTTCACTTTCGTTATCACTGATTCATATTACTCCAAAACGTTATTATCTATACTTTCTCTTTACAAGAACAAAAAAAGAAAAGTAAAAAGTGAAAGAAATCCACTTTAGTTTTTTTGTATTAAAGAAATATGAAATGGAGGGTAAAATATACAAGGAAAAACACTCATGTTAGAGAAAAAAGTGCAATATGCAATCTCATTATCTTAATGTCATGTGATGATTTGCAAGAAAGATACATACACCAGTGACAGGAATTTCATTGCTATAAATATCATCACTATTTGATGAAAAATAATTGCATTATTATGTGGAATTATTTGCCCTTACGAATGTTCCATTTTGCAACTTTAATACTGCGCTTGCTAGTTACTTTGAGATGCAATAATTTAAAGGGGTGATACATGTCATTTTATGTGATATATTAAAAGAAATGGTATTCTAAATGATTAATCTCACTCCCACAATAGAACAAATGATGCCAAAAAATCTAAAGGAAAAAAAAAGTAGAAGCAGTACTTTTTTCTCCTTTCATGCTTCATTAATATATATACCTGACTTTGTTGTGGCCTTGTGGGGTTCTGATAGCTCTTTCTAGCGACAGGTTATTTCTTTCCCGTTGTTGTGACGCGTGTGTATGTATATGCATGTGCTGTCTGGACTTTACAATGTGGTCAAACACTCACAATCTTTAGGCTTGAATGATAAAAGAACACTGGTAAATGCACATAAAAGGTAGAGTGTATAGATATCTAACTGGTGGATCATCACCGTTTATTTTTCTTTTTCCTTTTTTTAATCCCTCTATGGCTCCAAGTGTAATTAATTAACATTTCTCATAATAAAATACCCAGAAATTTTATGACCTCGTTTTCTTCAATACCAAAATCTAGAGGGAGGGGTTTACCTTAGTTAAAATACAAAAATGTAAAATGCTGCAAGTCGTTTGTTCATACCAGTCAAATTTATTGTGCGAAACTAACCCCAAAAGAAATTAATTGGTTTAGTGTTAGACAAACATGTGCACGTAATTTGTGACACTGTCATATGATAAATGTTATCATAACAAAACTTGACACAGTAATTTGATCAAACCATCACTGGCCGGGAGCCTCTTATATCATAACCCAGAAAGAAACTATCAGCACTTTCTAATACTTTGAGCAAACTCATGTGCATTTTTCTTATACTCATGCTGATCATCCTTCCTGAACTATAATAAAGAGGACCGTAGCAACAGGATCTTTCACCTAGAAATTTTCTGATGCACAGGATCCATGAGAATGGCAAGTGCAGAGCATACTTCTTTCTAGTCAGGGACTAGTGGATATTCATTACAAATAAAGCTTTCAAAGAGAGAAACTTAGAAACAACTCATGATAGATATGAAACACAAATTTTATTTCGGGTTTTCTTCTCTTCTTTTCAAAAGACAAGAGCTCCTCCTTATATAGAGGATGGACAGCCAACATAATAATTACACACGATAAGGTTGGATAAGATTTCCAATCCTTTTTCAAAGTAGCTTTTTTAAAGCATATAAAAGCTTATACTTTAAGTACATCTGATTCACACAAAAAATAAAATGTCTAAAGATACTTTATTACATAAAGGTTCTTTATCAGAGATTCTTCAGTCCTTGAAGATTGGCTCGTGACTTGGTGACAAGTTGGGATCAGGACTTGAGGTATAGCTTAGAGAATCATCCGGATCTTGTGAATCCATGTATGTATCATTATGTGAAGACCCTTCATCTTTGATTATTACATGGCTTGTCGTTTCCCAATTTCCAAATGTGACACTAGAACAAGTTACTGGTGGACTTATCTGTTGAACCTTATTCCAGATATATGGATTGTCACTATCAGAAGGGCAAATTATGTCCATCGATTTTAATTTGGAGCATGTAGATTTTACTTTAAGCATTTCTTCGAGAGCTCCATTTTCCACATGAAGATGAATATTTAAGTCTGCCTAATTAAAAGGTGGTCTGTCTGGTTGAGATATTTCTTTGAGATTGAGATAAGTATTCCAAATTCTGACCTGATTTTGAGAATAAAGTAATTTCGTAACAAGATGTTCAAAATAAGGTCTATGAATGATTACCACCGTCACATGCTTGGGAGTTTCTGCTGGAGGCAGATCAATTTCTTTCCAAATGCTGAGTCTTTCCATTTCAGTCTGAACATCTTTTATCCAGTTTGGAATAGGTTGGAACCAGGATAAGAATTTCCATACCAATGTTGACTGATTTCGTGAATCACTGAGGAATTCAAACATATTGAAAGTAGGAAAAACTATAGGGTAATGGTACAAAAGGGTGGTACACCAAAGATACCATACATCTTCTTCAATTAAAGGAAAATCCATTAATAATGCAAAGATGTTTAGGTATAGTGCATCAGGTTGAAACCAAGTAGGTTTAGGTTTAACACTACGATGGTAGAGTGAAAGAGACAGATAATGGAACATGTGATTTTTTGTAAAATCTTTAATGTATTCTATGGTAATAACATCATGTCTCATATCTGGTGGAAATAATGGAAGAGGAGATGATCCAGAGCTGGTACTGGTTTCAGCAATATTGAGAGAGAAAATTAATGGATATGTGTTCAAGGTGGTAACAAGGGTAACTGGTTTTTTTGGTCTGGACAAGAGGTCAGGGACAACATTTTTTTCTCCTTTAATGTGTTTAACAGTAAAATCATACCTGGAGAACCAATTTTTTAGTCTGAGAACTTGAGGATTTGGTGGCATCTTATTTTTGAAATCAAGCAGTGCAGGAAAAGCAGAGTTATCCATATAGACTTCAAAATTATGACCTCTGAGATAGAAGTCAAATTTTTTAATACCATTTTTGACTGCAAGAGCCTCTTTGTATGTTGTATGATAATGCTTTTCAGATTCTTTGAATTGTCCACTGGCGTGTCCACAATAAGCCTTTTTTCCATTAGTTTCTTCAAGTAGAACAGCTCCCCAATAATGATCACTAGCATCTGTTTGCAAAATTCTTTTTCCATCACCAGGGATCTTTAGTGGAGGAGGATTTTGAGCTATCTTCTTCAGATGTCGAACAGCTTCAGTTTGTTCATTGCTCCAGGATGGAGGATTTTTCCTTAGTAATTTTGACAAAGGACTTGTGTACTTGGCAGCATTAGGGATGAAATCCCTCATATAATTCAGCACTCCAAGAAACTGTTGAATCTGTTTGACTGTAAAGTTTTCATCAGGAAAATTTAAGAGTTCTTCTGCAATGTGAGGTTGTGGCTGATAATTCTCCTGAGAAAAATGCATTCCCAGAAAATCTATCTGGGTTTGGGCTAGTTGAATCTTTTTTTCTGATAACATAATCCCATAATCATTGGCAAGCTCAAAAAATTTATTCAATAGAATTTTATGGGATTCAGTATCTTTTGAGAATAATAGTACATCATCTATGTAGATGAGTATACTATCAAGAATAGGTTCAAAGATTCTGGTCATGGCTTTCTGAAAAAGGGAAGGTGCTACCTTTAAACCAAATGGAAGGACTTTCCATTGATATTGAGCATTTGGTATGCAGAAAGCAGTTTTGTATCGATCAGAAGGATCAACACCGAGTTGCCAAAATCCTGACTTTAAATCAAACTTTGAAAAGATTATGGCATCTTTGATTAGTGTATGTAGAGAAGAGGTTTTAGGAATGGGAAATTTATCATCTTTGAGAAAATGATTAAGAGGTTTGTAATCAATGACTAACCTTTTTTTCCCTCTGATCTTCTCAGATCTTTTTTCAACATAGAAAGCTTGGCATGCCCATTCAGATTTGGTTGGTTCTATCAATCCTTGACGAAGAAGTTCAGCACATTCTTGTCGAGCTATCTGGAGATCAGTAGGACTCATTCCAGGATGGGTGGCTTTGGTGGGATTGATATCTTCATTGAGCTTGAAAGGGAGTTTTATAAAAAACTCTGGATTGTTCCAAATTGGTTTGGGATGAGAGAAATTTTCATGTCCATCTGCACACAAAGTTTTTAACCTTTCTTTAATTTCAGAGTATTCTATTGGGCTTTCTTTAAGGGAATAAAGCTTCAATATATCTGTATAAGGCTTGAAGGTCCTTTTGAATTTTATTCCTCTGGGAAGAATGTGGAGTTTGTCAGTGAGACAGTAAGCATCCATTCCAAGCAGAATGTCCTTATTAGGGAGATGAGTCCCTATAGGTTTAATCCAGATAATGCAGTCTGGAAATAATTTAATCCCAATAGGCATCTTTGAGATTAAGTGAGTATTGAAGACTTTTCCATCAGCTGCAATAAAGCTGGTTGTATATTGAGTCCAGCATTCTTTT